ATAAGATAAAACGAAATGATAACACAATTTAAATTAGTTACAATAAATAAAAATTATTTACTCTGCCATTGTCTGTTCTGCATACCAAATAAAATTGATGCACGCTTTAAACATCTGATGCGTTTAAAACTGAGTTGCCAACTAATTAGGAACATTAGGCGTTGCCAGAAAATTCAAGTGTGACTTTAGGAACTATATGCATTGTAAATATGCATTGCAACCTGCGTTTAGGAAGTCGACCATACTTTTTTGAAGTTAATGGCAGCTTCAATGTGTAAATTCAAGGAACAAATCCATGCCGAAGAGTGTTTGTCCCTCACACTTCTGTAAGTTTATGTGATTATTATTTCATTTGTTATATTTATTAAGGTGACTGTTAGGTACTTAGCATATGGAATTTCTTTCAAAAAATTAGCATGGAGCTACAAAATCGGAAAGACTACACTGAGCCACATAGTGCTGGAGACATGTGAGGCTATTTGGGAAACGCTTTCACCAATTTATCTGAGTGAACCTACGCAACAACAGTATAAAGACATCACGACCGACTTTGCGCAAATGTGGATGCCACATGCCAAACTGCGTAGGTGCGATCGACGGAAAACATATTGCGATAGAATGCGCTCCAAATTCAGAATCCATGTATTATAATTATAAAAAGTTTTTCAGCATTGTACTGTTGGCAGCATGTGATGCTAAATACACTTTTACAGCCATTAGCTTAGGAGCTTACGGAAGCCAGAGTGATGGAGGTATTTTTCATGCAACGAGATTTGGCGAAGATCTGTTAGAAAATCGTTTGCCACTATCGCTTGATACTCCACCTCCGTTATCTTCCCACCCGTTTCCGCATTACTTTGTTGGGGACTGTGCCTTTCCATTAAAAAATAATCTTATGAAGCCGTATCCAGGTGTAAATACAACAAGAGCTCAACGAAGTTTTAATTATAGACTATCACGGGAAAGACGAGTTATTGAAAATGCGTTTGCGATTTTGACAGCGAGGTGGAGAGTGCTAAGAACAACAATGGAGTTTCATCCTGAAAATGCTGAAAAAAATCATACTAGCATGTTTAGTGCTTCATAATTTCATAATCCTCTACGATATGAATCGATGGTACTGCTCAGAGCATTACACTGACGGAGAKGAAAGAATGCTGAACGGAGAAATGAATTAAGATCTTGTGGGGGATTATATAGAACGTTGTATGGATTATATCCTTTGTACTTCAGGTTCAAAAGTTCAACCGTTCTGATTAAAAGAACAAAAAGTAATATGTAATAAAAGTTTAAAAAACTCTTTTTATAATTGAGGGACTAGTTCACATGCACAAAGCTTTCTTTTCATCAATTTGCGCTTGCATTACAATGTCAGTACATTGACGCATCACCAATGCTTGCCTTGATATTTTCATTTTTGAAATCGAAGAGCGTATCATTCGCCCAAAACCGCTTATCTCCTCATCGAACTCTTCTCGACGCGCTCTACGTTCACATACCTCCTAGAAAGTTTTCACTGTTCTGAGGATGGCAGTGTCCACCTCGTCAAGCTGTCTGCTTTTTCGCTTTCGTGGTCGCGATGTTGATGACGAATTTGCTGATGGCTGACTRGACGGAATTGACTAATCGGACGGAATTGCTGTTTTTGATCGGACAGAATTATTGTTGATTTGTCGGACGGAATTAATTGCCCAGAGGAAATTGGAGGTGACGTGGAGAGATCTTGTGATATAGATTCGGACGAAATGTTTATAAAGTCATAGTTCTCGTCGCTGCGTTTCAATATTGGCGCACTTTGTCGCATTCTGTTAATATTAATGTTCTCATTATTTACATGGATATAGTAATAATGCATTTTACTTACGGACAAGGAATAATGTGACTTCTTAAAAATTGCAAATTTCAAATAGCGCCCACTGCTTTCCTACGAATGCACCACTTCCTGAAGCATTTTGTGAGATTCTAATTTCTTTTGAGAAGCGTTCTTTCAAGTTGCCCCAACGCTTTAGAACAACACTTTCTGTTTATAATGTCCAAATATATTGTATATTAAATACCATAATATTTATATTTGATGGTGAGTATCAACTTCCAAATTATTGGCGACCTCCTTCCAAGAGCGCCTTTTTTTCTCTTCATTTTTGAAATTGGCATGACTCTTGTCATATAGGCATGGCGAATTCCGTACACATTCTATTAATTTAATATCTTCCATTTTGATTAGTTTGATTAATAGATTATTATTTGATTGCTGTTTAAAAATTGAATTACGTTAAACAATCCGAGCTTTATAATACAAAATTATGGGGCGAACRAAACGAAATGCAAACGAAATTTCAAATGAAAAGTCAAAAATTCAAAAAACATCTTTTTATGGTTACAGCGAAAATCGAAATTAAATTGATATCTATGGCTATGGTTATGGGCATGTTGTTATGGTAACTCACCTCTAATTGGAAACATTGTTCCCCGTAAATTTGGTTCACTCAGCTGTTTTATATGGATATGGTTATGCACCTCTAATTTTACCATAATAGTAGGAACAGTCAAAAACGCTACTGCCTTCCTCCCTTTTCCTTCCTCATCGGCAAAATGTGTGCCCAGTGAAAAACGTGGCAAAAACGCAGAATTCAGCCATCTTTGTTTGTTTTTATTTGCACAATGTTGCCATCGCTCAATACGCATATATAGTTTTGTACACATCTATGTTTCCAATTACAATTTTTTATAATATAAAATATCAAAACTGAAAACAAACTATTAAAAATAGTTTATATATTTATAAATAATAGCATTCGACTCCAATTTTGAGTTATTTTAAGAAAATATCAAACATATTGAACAGATTGAATTATAAAAGTTGATAATTACTACAGTATATAGATATTGGCAACCCTGGGTTGTGAGAGAGCAATCAGCTGACACGTTTAGACGGCAAAAACCAAAATGCTGTAGATTCCCACGTCATCCGACGTCAAAGAGCGAAGGGAGTAGCGTTTTTCACTGGGCACTTACATTGCGCGCCCATAAGATAGGTCGAATCAGTTGACACGACCCACGATTCTGCGTTTTTGACTGTTTCTGCTATAAGCCTTTCAGTCTTAGGAAAACAGCTGTACTGTGCGACCTATGAATTCCACAATGGCTATTAAGTTCCACAGCATAGAGGCGTCATCACTTGCGAGCTTGCGAATGCCACAACACCACACTCATATGCAATTAGCACACTCTATTCAACCAGAGAACTTAAAGCATAGAGAAGCTGCAAATTGAATTCTGTATGATGTTCGATTGGGCGGCCTACAGAGCTGATAGATTTGTAGTAAGGAAGTCACCATTCTCGCTGCTATTTAGCAGAATTAAGCACGTGCAATGGCAGAAAAATATGTAAAACGGCTGAATTCATGCGAGAATGAATAAAGAGAAATGCTGTGAAGAAAAATATACAAAGTCACACAGAGTATGTAAAAAAGCATTCTCTGAGTAACATATGCGCGATTATTTTATATTATATGAACCATTCTCTGAGTCACACATGTCTGATTATTTTCCGAATATCCGAAAAACGGTAAAAATTTTAATTTTTTTTTACAAAATATGGAAAAATTAAATAACAAATAATTTTTAATGAATTATTATTTCAAAAATTATATTAATTTCGGGTATTATATTATATTAATTTCGACTATTATAAAATGAAGATGTGTCAAATGAATTAAAATGTGCTCATATAAACACTTCCATTCATTCCTTTCATTTCTTCAAAAAAAAAAAAATTAATGACCTTCATGAGATATACATATTCGCATTATTTCGTTATCATTTCCATATTCGTAGCAATAGAATTTCTATGGCATATACCCATATCTTTTTTCTTTGGCACATTTGTCTGTATCTTTACGAAAACAAATAGGAACCACATATGTACAAACATTCAAACATACAAACGCATCTCCGTTGTCACGAGCAACTAAGGCCGAGTCTCACGTTTTGTCAAAGAGTCAATGTCAACACTGACGCGGCGACAAAGCGTCACAGCATTGTATTGCTGGTAGAAAATCCAAGCTGTGCCGAAAAACAATAAACGAATGGCCGCCGATTGTCACCACTTGACTTGCCGCTTTATTATTTTTAGCTGTTGCCATAAAATTAATGGCTAGAATTAAAAATAAATTCTGTCGAGATTCGAACCTGTGTACTCATCGTGGCTTTTCAAGCCCTTACCACCAACACCACCATTGACACTTGTATTGTGTTGTCCTAATTATGGTTGGAAATATGCTTTTGTAGAACATTTGCTTTCGCAAACATACAGACAAATGTGCAGACGATGTATGTATGATTGTTTCGCATTTTGCTTTTAGTTAATTTTTAAGTTTTAATTAAAAAGTGTTTATAATTATAATACATGGAGCCAGTATTTCCTGGACACTTGATTCATATGTGCTTCCCGTCGATAGCACCAATACAATTTGGGAAGTTCCATAGCTTCCAGTATTGCTCTGCAATTTCTTGAAAACATAGTTCGTTTGGCTGCGGCATATGTATAGTAAATATATTATCCCATAGAACTTGGGTTGTCTCCTTAACAATACCTCCTACTGTTGATTTGCCTAGCCGAAACGAAAAAGCCAGTGAGGCAAATGATGCTCCAGATGCCAGAAATCTAAATAAAAAAGTTAAAACAAAAATTGTTATTTAAATTTATATTATATTATTTATATAAATTTTTGTATTTTATTGTTTAAATTCATGTATGCATATAATTCTTATCATATTTTAATTATATGGTTTCATTTGATCTTGCAGAGGAAGCCTTAAAAAAAAATGGAAGTATTTACGCGATCAATTTCGATGTGAAGTACGCAAAATTCCAACTCCAAAATCGGGGGATGCCGCATCACAAATTACTTCGAGTTGGCCTTATTTCAATTCTCTACTGTTTTAAAGGACAAAATGAAATACAGAAATTTAAGTAGTAATTTAAAAGCGTCAAGTGTAAAAGCTACCCAAGAAGAGGTTAAATACGAAGAAGAAATTGAAGATATTCTCAACACTTCACAAGTCGAAGAAACAAGAGATCTGTGCGACAATGACGAGTTCAGCTGTGAAGTTCCATCGAAAAAAAAAATACCTGTAACAGCACTGCCCAATTATTGGAAATTGAAAAAAGAAAATTGGCACTGCTGGAAAATAAAAAAAATGGAAAAATTGGATGAAAATGAAGCATTTTTTGTAACTCTTTTGCCGCATATTCGGAAGTTGGACCCAGAGAATAAATTTCTGTG